CATCATATTGTTCTTCTCCTTTATTTTGTTTATGTCATGAATTACATCGTTTTTCTAATATTAGACTATCCTTGCATATCTGGTATGAGTTATCATTATTAATTATAGGTATGGTTTCTTGTTCAAATAAAGCTTTCCTGGTTATATAGTAACATTCTATGTCTCTCATTATGTCATAGTTTGATGTCTACTTTTTTCAGATTAGTGTTGCTACTCTTGCTTTCTTTTGACTGCCATTAGTTTGATATTTTTACCCCCATCCTTTAATTTTTAGTCTGTCTTTACATCTAGGTGTTTTTCTTGTAAGCAGCATATTAAAGACTAATGTTTCTTATCCATTCTGTTAGCCTTTTTCTCTTAAATGGTGAATTCGATCCATTTACATTGAATTTTTTTACTAAGTATGGTGTTATTGGTGTCATTTCTTATGTCTTTAATGGTGATATTGTTTTCAATTTTCATGATAATTTTTGTGTTATATTCCTTTCGCGTATAGTTACCCTTTCAGTACTTTCTTTGCTTTTTTAGTTTTTATCTTATTATTTAACTGGCTTATATGTTTTCCTCTTTTTTTTGTTTTGTTGATGTTTTAACTTTATCTTGGAGGATTTTTTTTCCTGTTTGTTTTTTTGCGTGGTTTTCTTTCCAAATTCAAAACTGTTTGTTGTCTTTTGTGAAAAATTCAATGTATTCTCCATTCAACTATTGCATACTCTCTTCCCTTTAGGTTTCCTCCTCCATCCCCACCTCCACTTCATTGTAGAGTTGTTGTCTGTGATTTCTTATTTTGATTTGTATAGTTCTGTTCCACTTTGTATATTACTTATGTAGGATATTTTTCTCTATAATTGTGTCCTTTCTTGGTCATTTTGTTTCTTTTTTCTTTTCTTTTCTTTTTCCCCCCATGAGTATTCAATGATCCATGTCTTTAATCACATTTGGTATGCTCTTAAGAAGCAACATAGCTCACACTTTCCTACTCGCATGCAATTTACAGGTAATTTCCCAGCAAGAGAAAGGTTAGCACAATACAAAAAAAAAAGAAAGATACTAAAAACATGTTACATGTCATAGCCTTTAGTAACAGGTATGGTATTGTACTAACCTATCTCATTTTATTTCTTGACTGCTGCTTGCAGAGCATTGATTGTGGATTCAAGCAAGATCAAATCCTTGACAATTTTAATCTTTTCTCCAATTTTCATGATGTTATCTATTGGTCTGTTGTGAGGATATTTGTTTTCTTTACACTGATTTGCAATCCATACTGAAGGCTTCAGTCCTTGATCTCCATTAGTATGGCCTTCAAATCTTCCTTGCTTTCAGCAAGCAAGGTTGGGTCGTCTGCATATATTAGGTTGTTAATAAGCCTTCTTCAAACAATGATGCCATGTTCTCCCTCATATAGCTCAGCTTCTTATATTCTCTGATCAGCATACAGATTGAATAGGTAATAATGAAAGGATACGCACATTTTCTGATTTTAAAACACCCAGTGTTTCCTTGTTCTCTTTGAATGAAATGACTGTCTCTTGATCCATGTACAGGTTTCACATAAGCACAATGAAGTGTGGTGGAATTCCTATTCTTCTTAATGCTACTCATAGTTTGCTATGACCCACACAGGCAGATGCCTTTGTATAGTTAACAAAACACAAGTAAACATCTTTCAGGTTGAAGTTGAAGAAAATTAAACAAGCCCATGCAAACCAACATTCAACCTTTAGTATATCCCACCTAAGTTTTTAGAACATCTCAAGAATAAATTTGCATCATTGAGCACTAATGACAGAGCACCTGAGGAGCTCTGGGACAACAGCAAGAGAATCATGTATGAAGAAAGCAGAAGTTTGATTAAAATACAGGAAAAAAGAAAAGATCAAAATAGATATCAGAAGAATATCTGAAACTTGCTCTTGATCATATAGCTAAAGCAAGTGGAAGAAATAATCTAAAGTTCTCTAACTTTAGAGAACTGAACAAAAATTATCACAGGGTAGATTGAAAAGAAAGTCAAATATTATAATGAAAGTTTTAAAAACCTGGAGTTTGAAAACCTAAAAGGAAGAACATACTCAGAATATATCAAGCTGAAATAATTGAGAAAATCAAAGCCCCAAATTGCAATATTTAAAGATTATATGGCCAGAATACTGAAGGACACAGGAAGCATCAGAAGGATGGAAGGAATACACAGAGTCACCGTACCAAAAATACCTGGTAGACATTCAATCTTTTCAAGAGGTAGCATATGGCCAGAACCAATGAAAGAAGAGACCCAAGCTACACTAAAGGCATTATCAGAAAAATAAAGCTTCTGTTATTGATAGAATACCAGCTGATAAAGCCCTGGAAACACTCACCTATGCCAAGAATCTAGAAGACAGCTGCTTGGCCAGCTGACTAGGAGAGATCCATATTTGCACCCATTCCAAAGATCAGAAGAGAATGCAGAAATTATCAAACAATATACTTAATATTATGTGCAAGTAAAGTCTAGCAACAGTGTCTAGCAGTACATTGATGGGGAACTGCCATAAATTCAAGCCAGATTCAAAAGAGAGTAGAATGAGGGATATCATTAATGACATCAGATGGATCTTGGTTCAAAGAGAATACCAAAAAAGGTTGGTAGAATTCTTCCATTCCTTCATCACTAGCTTTCGTGGTTGGTGCATAATTTGGAATAGTAGTTCTATTAACTAGACTTCCTTGTACATATATTATCCTATCGCAGACAGCATTATACTTCAAGATAAATCTCGAAATGTTCTTTCTGAGGGTGAATGGGATGCCTTTCCTCTTCACTTTGTCATTTCTGGCATACTAATCCACATGATTGTCTGGTTCCAAATGGCCAATACCGATCCATATCAGATCCCTTATGAGTTCCATTTCATTTTTAACAACTTTTAATTTTCCTAGATGCATACTTCAAATATTCCATGTTGTGATTATTAATGGATATTTTCAACTAGAGTATGTTTGTTTTTCTCTCTTTTTGAGTTGTGCCCCGTCCACAAAGATCTCCAAAGCTTTACTTCATCTATATCATATGGTTACCACTACTATGAGGAGTCTTCCCCACTCGTGTTTTGCCGCTGTCCATAAAGTTTTCAGTGGCTAATCCCTCAGAAGTGGACACACAGCTGATTCCCTCCTTGTGGCCTATTCTTAGCTTAAAAGCTCCACTGAAACCTGTTCACCTTACGTGGCCCTGCTGGTATTTAAGGTGCCAGTGACATAGCTTCCAGCAGCACAGCAACTCAAGTAACATGTTATGTCAAACTGATAGACATGGAATCAGATAGAAAGGTAGTTTTTTTTAACAGATAAAATAGAGTTGAAAATCAACAACAAAATACCAAAGCCATAACAGGAAAAATAATGACAAAGTGTATAAACAAACAGTTCACAAATGAATGACAATGGTTCTTAAATGCATGGAAAGCATCTCTTTTACTCATAATAAAAGCCAGAAAAGTCACAGCTACTCTGAGATAAGATGATATATTTCCTAAAATGTAGAACACTCTGTTGGTGAGTTTATAAGACTTTCATTTTATACACCTGTAATGATAGAAGGGCAGTAGCAACTTGGTATTATCTTCAAATTTCCCTTCCAGGAGTTTATCCCGTAAGTGTACTCGGGTATATGCAAACTTTTATATAGTTGTCCTTTGGTATCCACAGAGGGGATACCTTTTGGTGTGTGTGTGTGTGTGTGTGTGTGTGTGTAACAGTCACTGCCATCAAATCAATTCTAATTCATATAAAACTCCATCAGACAGAGTAGAATTACCCCTTTGGGTTTTTGAGGTTGTAAATATTTGCTACCAGGGCTCCTCCTTTACATAAAATGTGGTAGTATTTGCATATAATACGCATATCCTCTTATATACTTTAAATCATCTCTAGATTACTTATACCTAATGCAGTGCAAATAATAAGTAGCATTTACACTTGCTCTGAACCTTGGGTTGTTTTGACCACTTAATTGTTTCTTCTTCTTCTTCTTGAATATTTTCAAGCTGTGGTTTGTTGAATCCTCAGATGTGGAACTGGTAGAAATGCAGGGTGGTTAGATGTACAATGTTTTTCATTGTAGCATAGTTTGTAAGGATAGAGAGGCAACAGCCTAACATTTTTTAACTGAGAGCACACATTATGGACCACTCACAGACTGAATGCAATGCAAACTCCCACAGATGCAGGAAGATCCCCAAGACACTAAATCAGTTACCATCAGGATTCCAACTCATGGTGACTCTTCAGAGTACAAATGTGCTTAGCAGGATTTTCATGGTTGTGACCTCTTGGGAATTTATTGCCAGGATTTTTTCTGTGGTGTCTGGATGGATTCGAACTGTCACTCTTTCAGTTAGCAGCCAAGTGCTTACGCTAGTCTTATTTCCCTGAGAGAGCCTATGAAGCCAAATTAAAGCAGAACCAAGATACAGTCTGTTTCCATTTGCGCAAGGGAAAAGAAAGAGTATGTGTACCCATGCCTATGTTTGTAATGCAGAGTTTGTATTTGGGGTGCTGCAGAAAATGGAGGTTGCCTCCAGGTAGAGGAAGGGATAGCTGGCAGTAAGGGTGCAAAAAGACTCACTTTTACCAGGTTTTGTTCTGTGTTTGTGCCACCCCTCCAATTACCACTTAAACCATAGCACTGTGCCAGCCAAATGGCACCTATCTGTAGGCCTAGGCCATGATGCTGGAGTTATCAAAAAAAAAAAACCCTCCACGATTCAGTACCTGACTTCTTTCACTCTAACAAAAATGCAGCTCCACCACCTTGTCCACCCAGAGGGTCTTCCTAGCCTTGGCATTTCTGGATAAGTTCTGGGAATGACCCTGGTTTTTTCTGCATTGATGATAAAAGGTACCTACCCAGAAGGGCACAGGGCTAAAGACAAAAGTGGGAGGCCATTGGAACCCCATGAGGGCATCATCTTGACCGTACGGATCCAACCCCTGTGTTAACTTCTGTCCTTTAGGCACGCCCCAAAGGAGAGGGCCTAACCCCATACCAGGGGAAAAAACGCTGCTTTGGAGAATACAAGTGTCCCAAATGCAAGAGGAAATGGATGAGTGGGAACTCATGGGCCAACATGGGGCAGGAGTGCATCAAATGCCATATCAACGTGTACCCACACAAGCAGGTAAGCTGGGTGGAACCTGGGCCTGAACATGGTGAGACTTAGACAAGGGGTATAGGCTGGGGACTGGGTTTGACAAAGGTTGAGCAGAAGAAGTACCCAGGGTGGAGAAGCTGTATAGGACATGTGGGGTGATCAGTCCTTAGATGACTTTCCCATCTCTGGGCCTCAGTTTGTCGCTTCATACAAGGAGAGTGAGACCACATCTCTTAATGTTGGCTCTTTCTTCATTTGTCTCATCTGAAATAGGAGAGGTGCCTGTCTCTCTGGGAAGGAGAGGAGAGTCAAGGGTAACTATACTTAGGTTCTGAGATGAAAGAGCCAAGGTGAATTTTAAAACAAATCCACTGGGTGTGTCATGTGAGCAGAGTTGAATATGAGGGCTGTAGGGTATGACAACATGCTGATTTGTTCTCTGTGGCATTCTTTTACCATCCACACAACCTGTGTGTGTGAGGAGCTGCTGGGCACCATGCACTGTGCCCAAAGCAGTGACAGGGAAAGTGTGGGCTGTGCCCTAATGGAGAAGATCTCCTTAAGATGAGCTGAGAGAAGAACACCACGTGATGTGGGCCTGGAGGAGGAGAGGAGTCCAACTAGCCCATACGTGAGGGATAGCCACGCGAAACAAGGGGGCAGCCTCTGAGGAAGTCATCTAGCCTTGAAGTGCTCAGGACCACTGCTCAATGGGGAAGCTTGGGAAAGGGGCAGGAGGAGAACAAGCAGAAAAGGCCATTATCGAGCATGGTGAGTGAGGAGAGTGGAGTGCAGGAATCGGGGAAGAGCATGAGTGATGGTGCACACGATGCTAACATGTCAGGAAGATGGGTGACCACGAAGAGTAAGGACCCTGCAGTTTTGACAACTAGGGTACTGTCCTCAAACTTATGGAATGTAATTTTCACCTAGAAGGCTCATTGAAAAGTAACAAAATTTGAGATGCACTGGAGTGGTCTCACTGGAGCCCTGGTGGTGCTGTAGGTTAAGCATTGGACTACTAATAGCAAGATCAGTAGTTTGAACCTATCAGCCACTCGTGGGAGAAAGAGAAGATTGGTCTTATAAAGATTACGGTATCAGAAACCTTGTAGAACAGTCCTACTCGGTTCTCTAGGATTGCAATGAGTCAGAATTGACACAAGGGCAGTGTTAAATCTGATGCAAGAAAGGACAGGCTTAAGGTATTTCCAGTATACAACTCCAACACTTGTCTGTCAGTTTGTTGTACTGTGATGCTGAAAGCTATGCCACCTGTATTTCAAAATGCCAGCAGGGTCACCCAAAGTGAAAACATTTCAGGAGAGCTTCCAGAGGCAGAACAAACTATGAGCAAGGAATAAGCTGTCCATGTGTGAGGAATTAGCCACTGAAAACCTTATGGACAGAATCAGAACCTTGCCACATACTGAAAACCGCATGAAAAGAAGCAGAACATTGTCAGACTAGTGCCAGAAGATGAAACCCCTCAGGTTGGAAGGCACTAAAAACATGACCGAGGAGTTGACCATAATGACATAGACGGAGTAAAGCCTATGGGAGTAAAGTCTACAAGACCTTCGTTTGCTGATGCGGCGCGACGCAAAATGAAAAGAAACAGCTGCAAATATCAACCAAAAATTGGAACTTGGAATGTATGAAGTATGAATCTAGGAAAATTAAAAGTTGTCCAAAATGAAATGGAATACATAAAAACTGTCATGCTAGACATTAGTGAACAGAGATGGAATGGTAGTGGCCATTTTTAATCAGAAAATCATATGGTTACTGTGCTGGGAATGTCACAATCAAGTGGAATGGCATTACACTCATCATCTAAATGGATATTTCAAAATCTATCTTGAAGGACAATGCTGTCTGTGATAAGAGTACATCTATCCACATTCAAAAAAATCCAATTAATAACAACTGTTAGTCACATTTATGCCCCAACCACCAAAGCTAGTGGTGAAATTAAAGATTCTATGTACCTTTTTGGTTTAAAGTTCATCAGACATGCACTTAAGATGCATTGATAATTATTGGCAGTTGGAATGTAAAAGCTGGAAACAAAGAGGAAGGAACAGTAGCTAGAAAACATGCGCTTGTGATAGAAACGATGCCAGAGATGGCATGATAGCAAGGCCAACAACCTGTTTATCGCAAATACCTTTTTAAAAACAAAAAAGGGGGAGTATACATGTGGACTTCTCTAGATGGAACACACAGAAATCAAATTGACAACGTCTGTGGGAAATCCCTACAGAGAAGCTCAATATCTGTAGCTAAACCCAGGGCAGGAACTGACTATGGAATAGATCATCAATTGCTGATATGTACATTCAGGTTGAAGCTAAACATAACAAAAACAAGTCCATGAGAGCCAAAGTATGACCTTGATTCTATCCCACCTGCATTTTGAGACCATCTCAAGAACAGATTTAATGCCTTAGACACTAATGGTAGAAGACCTGATGAACATCATTTATGAAGAAAGTAAAATGTCATTAAAAGACAGAAAAGAAAGAAAAAATCAGTGTGGATGTCAGAAGAGATTCTGAAATTCGCTTTTAATTGTAGAGTGACAAAGGCACTGAAAAGAAATAATGAAGTCAAAGAGCTGAACAGGACATTTCAGAAATGTCAAAAGACAGCTAAAGAAGGCATAGTAAAATAATATCATGAAATGTGCAAAGACCTAGAGTTAGAAAACCAAAAAGGAAAAGCACACTCAGCATATATTAAAATGAAAGAAGTAAAGAAAAACTTCAAGCCTTGAGTTTCAATATTGAAAGGTTCTATGGGCAAAACATTGAATGGTGCAGGAAGTATCAGAAGAAGATGTAAAGCATAGAGAGTTACTGCATCAAAAAGAACGACTCGACATACCATTGTTTCAGGAGGCAGCATATGAGCGAGAACCAAGAGTGCTGAAGGAAGAGGTTCACGCTGCACTGAAAGCACTGGCCAAAAATGCAGCATTAGGAATTGATGGAATATTCATTGAAATGTCTCAATAAGCTGATGAAGCACTGGAAGCACTTACTTGTTTATGCCAGGAAACTTGGAGGGCAGCTACTTTGTCAACTGATGGGAAGAGATCCACATTTGTATTCATCCCAAAGACAGGTGACGCGGATCCACAATCAATACTCCTGGAAGCAGCAGTCATGAGATTAAACGATGCCTTGCATTGAAAAAATCTGCTGCAAAAAACCTTTTTTTTGCACAAAACCTTTTTGTTGTAAAGCCAAAATGTTGCTTTGAGCATTAATTTTGCCTGATATATCCATGGTATTTTCAATTGCCTCTAACCCATCTGGAAGGGGGCATGTCAACAGAAATGTTGGAGATCAGGGTTTCCCCTCTATCTTTGCCTTGTTGGCTGAGTGACATGGACCCCAGGCTCCCCATCTATAAAAGAAAAAGTAAAATAAAAATAAATAAAAAAGAGTTCAGATTTCTATCAAACCTTCCTTAAGTGTCTGCTTAGTGCTGGGCACCATAGACAAGGAACCCTCACGGGGCCTAATTCTTGTGAAGAAAACAGAAAACCAAGTGATCAAATGTGATGAGTGCGGTGAGACAGTGAAAGAGGGCTGTGTGTTAGATCTAGTGAGATGATCTGAGAAAATGTCATTTGAGTAGGTATGAGATGTGTTCTTCAAAGCAGCTCTGAGGTGTGTGGAACTCAACTGGCCAGAGGAGCAGTGAGGAGGCTAGTGTGGCCCAGGTATGGAAAATGAGGGAAGCAAGGACAAAGAAAGGGTCAGCAAAGGTGTTGGAACCATTCAAGATCCCTCAAGCCAGAATTGGCACTCTATCTGCTATGAAACCCTCAGTTTCATAGGTGCTTCCACACTAGTACATGGTCTCCAGGATTGAACCCCGGAAATGAGGGCCCCAGTCACTTCTTGGATAGGACCTAATGCTTTAACCCCACCCACTCCAGCCTGAAGCACAGCTCCTGTGCCTCTGAGGGTTGAGTACCAAAGCCTGTGGCCCCCCAAAGACCACGCTTGAGTAGGGAATGGCTTCATGAATCTTGTAGTCTCTGTCCTGTGAAGATCTGCCTATGCATAGCCTCCACAAGGAAGCCTCCCATCTCCATACTCAGGACTAGAGTCCCCAGAGGGTCCCTCTGGAAGGACTTCATAAAACCATACTGCTTTGCTGTGTCCCTCTTCCAGTCAGCCTACCAATTTGAAGGCAATGTCATCAGCAAGGAGACACTGTCAAAGATGGCATTTGAACCAGATCACACAGAAGCCAGTGGCAAGGAAGCTCGACACCAGGTCCTCACCACTTAGCCCCTGCAGTCTCTTCTTGCTTATCCATCTTTTCTCCGTCAGGGATGTCACAACTGAAGGACTGTGAACTGAATGATGTCCCTCCCACCTCAGCACAGCAGTACTTCCCATCAGGAGCATTTGAAAAGCTGAGACGTAGTGCTTGAAGCCCCTCTCACAAGTCCTGCACAGTGATTGAAAACCAAAACCAAGCTCACTATCATAGAGTTGATTTCTACTCTACAAGGAGGGAGGTACCAAAAAAAAAAAGAAACACCAGATTTCCCCCCCAAAGCTATGTATTTAATTTTTTTTTAACAAAACAACCTTATCACCTTCAAAGTACTCTCCATTACACTTAATACACTTGTCAAATCTGCCATTCCATTCTTGAAAACATTTTTCAAACTCATCTTTTTGGATGGCTGGCAGCACCTCCCTTGTTTTTTTCTTCACCTCATCTATGTTGTCAAATTGCTGTCCTTTCATGTCCCTCTTCATTCACAGAAACAAAAATATGTCGTACAGAGCGAAGTCAGCTGAGTAAGGTGCGTGGGACAAGAGAGGCATGCTGTTTTTTGCTAAAAACTGACACACTGAGATGGTTGTGTGAGCTGGTGCGTTGTTGTGGTGGCAAAACCAATCCCCTGTCTGCCACAAATCAGGCCTTTTTTGTTCCACACTGTTCTGCAATCTTTACAGAACCTCTATTAAAGGTTGATTAACAGTCTGACCTGG